CCTTGGCCTACCCCCATCCCTTGGAGATTCTTCTTCATAAAGGTCCAACAAATATTATCAAAGGCTTTCTCCGCATCCACAAAAATCAAAACCGCCTTTCTATTAATGTTCACTTCCAGCAGTTCCAAAATGTCTATAATGTTCCTCACATTGTCCGACATATGTCTCCCTGGAAGAAAGCCTGTTTGGTCCTTGTGAATCTCCCCTATCAACACTCTCTTCAGTCTTTTTGCTAAAATGTCTGCAAAGATTTTATAATCCACATTAAGTAATGATATAGGGCGGTAGTTTTTAACCTGGTTCTTTTCAGTCTCTGTTTTCGGTATAAGTGAAATAAAAGCTTCTTTCCACGATTCAGGTGCCTTTTTCCCTTCCAAAATTTCATTACAGACCTCCTTCAATGGTTGTATTATCCATTCCTTCAATGCCTTGTAGTATCTAGCCGTTAAGCCATCTGGTCCTGGAGATTTTCCCAACTGCATATTCTGAATGGCACCCTCTATTTCTTGTCCTGTTATTTTCTCATTCAGTATCATTTTACTTTGATCTGAGATCTTTGGTAGTCCATACTTCTTAATAAATTCTTCTATTTCCTGCTCATCAACTGGCCCTTGTGCATATAGTTTCCTAAAGAAACTTTGAAAGCAATTGCTTATCTCATTTGGTCTGTGGATAATTTTTCCATCCATTTCCAAACTTGTCACAGTGTTCAGTTTTTGTCTCTTTTTCAATTGCCATGACAGAAGTTTCCCACATTTGTCTGCCGATTCAAATGTTCTTTGTCTCATTTGCTTTATTTTCCATTCTATCTCTTGATTCATCAATTCCATATATTGCGTCTGGTAATACTTTATTTCTCTCAAAATCTCATGAGACTTTGGTTTAGACCTCAATTTCTTTTCACCTTCTTTTATCTTTTCCAAAAGTTTTTCTTTCCTCTCATTCTGCTTTTTCCTCTTTATGGAATTTTGTTGTATTAGGAAACCTCGCATCACGGCCTTGCTTGCGTCCCATATTATTCTTTTCTCCACATCTGTTCTCAAATTTATCTCAAAATAGTCTTTCAGAGTTTTTGGGGCTTTCTTATAGATCTCTTCATCTCTGAATAGGGCGTCATTCATCCTCCATCTGAAGGTTCCAGTTGTTGTTAGTTTCATCTCCATCTTCACAGCATTATGGTCGGAGCAAGTCTTTGGGCAGATTTCTACTTTTTTTATCTTTGGCGCCATGGTACTAGTTACCCAAATTTGGTCGATCCTTGTCCATGTCATTTTTGCTTCAGAGAAAAAGGTTCCCTCTCTCTCCAGAGGGTTCCTTACTCTCCATTTATCAATCAAGTCCAGTGTTTCAGTCATTTCGAAAAAAGTCTTTGGTAGTCTTCCATCCTTAGAAATTATTTGTCTCTGTGCCTTGTCCATATTTGTAGAGACAACGCCATTCATGTCTCCCATCATTATAATTTTATAATCCAGATAATCCATTAAAGTCTCATGCAACTTCTTGAAAAATTCCGCCTTCCCTTCATTTGGTGCATATATTCCCAATATCATAATTTTTTCTCCTTGAACTTGTACTTCTATTGCCAGGTATCTTCCTTGTTCATCTTTAAATATCATTTTAGGAGTCAATTTTTCTTTTGCATAAATCACGACGCCTCTTTTTTTAACTTTGTCTGATGAAATAAATTATTCTCCAAGTCTCTTATTTGTAAGTAATTTCCTGTGTATCCTGGTCACATGCGTTTCTTGTAAACATATTATATCTAATTGCTCTCTCTTCAAAATATGGAAAACTTGGCGTCTTTTTCTGGGAAGGTTCAAACCATTACAATTCCAGCTGAGAAGTTGCAGAGACATTTTACTACTATGTGCCTATTCCTCCAACTGCTCCAAGTTTTTGTTCCTCCTCCGATGGTGGTAAAAGTCCAAATGAGAGATTTGCAATGTCTGTCGATTCTTTGTCTGCTGTTGTTTCTACTACTCCTTTCTGCAAATCCTCCTGGTATCTTTCCAAAAACTGTTCTTTATCTTGAACTGTTTTTATTTTGATCTTCCTTCCTGTGTAGTTAAAAGATAGTCCTTGTGGGAACTCCCACCTGAAGAGTATGTTGTTTTTCTTCAGCAGGTAGACCAAATCTTTATAAAGGGCTCTCACCTCCAAGATATATTTAGGGATGTCTTTGAAGATCTGGACTTGACTATTCTGAATTTCAAGAGCCTTATGGTAATGTAGATTTAGTATTTTGTCTCTTTCTTCTTTGGATCTCAATGTAATCAGACAATCCCTAGGCTTCTTACCTTGCTTTCTGCCCAGCCGGAAGGCTGTTGTTATTTCAAGTTCTTCCTCCTGTAACTCGTCCTGCCAAAATTCCAAGATGTTATCTGTGAGGAATTCCGCAAGATTATCTTTCTCGCTCTCTGGAACCAATCTTAATTTCAAATTCTTCTCTTTTCTCTGGAGTTCCCATAAAGATAGGGTTGCATCATGTTCATTCACCTTTTTTGTGATTGGTGCAAGCTCCTTTTTTGTCTCATCTGCAATATCTTTTGCACTTTGAGCAATTTTTCTTGTTTCAGAATTTTCTTGGATCAATTTATTTATAGATTCTGTATTAGAAGCTACACTTGCCGTGTTCAAGTCCAGTCTTGTTGTTAAATCATTCAATTTTTTTGAGTTCTCCGCTGACTGCTTTGTCAATGCTTCCAAAGACTGGTTTATTTTAAGCAATGCATGTGTCATTGATTCCATAGATGCGGTTGCCACTTTTTCCTGTCCAGCTGGTGTTGTGCCTTGCATCGAGCCCCTTTTCTTCTGAGCTTGCTGAGTTTGTTTTGCTTTTGATCTAGTTGTTATCTCTTCTGGTTGGCCACTCATATCCTCAAGGTCAGTTCTCACAGGAAAGATTTGCAAGTGGAGAATTCCACTCTTTTCCTTTCACTGTAGCAAGTTCTCTTTAAATCCTCTAGAGGGAGCATAAATGTATCCAGTTGGCCATAAGAACATGAGGCAGAAAACAAAGGGTTCAGAAACAAAGAGTCCAAAAGTCTACAGTTAAAGTTCTTATTACACTTTCAATATATTCAAACGTTCAACAAAGTAACTCCATTAAAGTCTCATAACTTTGTTTCAGTCAAAACCCCAACTTTGTATCCAGTTTGAGCTGACAGTTCACTTTCCCGGTGCCTTACTTCGGCAGCCCGTTCCAGGGTTTTGACAGTGAAAGATCTTTTTCCACACTTTACTTCAAGCAGGTTTACAATGTCCAATTTTCCTTCCCCCCTTCTCCTGCTTACTGGGGGGAAGTTTAAGTCAGATGTCAGGATTTGACAGCTTAAAAGTTAACCTTCATTTAAATGCAGCTTTGTTCTCTCGTTGCTTTGATTGTCATGCAGTCCGGGGAGGCAGACTTCCTTACTTTATGCCTTTCCCGTTTTCAGCCAAATTTCCAGAATTTAATTTAAATGTCCCGTTTTACGTCTGTCAGTCTTACTCACGGGTTTTGAGATCAAATTCCAGTTTCAGGAAGGAATCGGTGCTCTCCGTTCAATGGCGACGCGGCTTCACTCTGCGAGCTGGGTTGCGACTCTCAGCGCCGCGCTCACACCCAATGCCGCTCCGGAGCCTTTAAAAAGGCTCTTTCGCAATACCGGGGGGCGCAAAAGGTGCCCGCCGAGTCTCCTTGTTCACAGGCTTCAGCGCCTGTGATTTTAGGGGTCCCCTGCTCGCCGTAGCGGGTCAGACCCGAACTCGCGGAGCAGTCCTGCCTCGGAGCTCGAGGCAAGGACCGCCATTAAACGCTGGCGCCGACCGGAAGTTGTTTTTTGGTTGTTGTTTTTCCCCCTCTCTCCTCTTTGCTGGCTTAGGTCTCAGGTCGTCCCTGGGCAGTCGGCCACGTGGCTGAGTGTCCTGGCTTTCTTTCTCGGCTCAGCCTGGGGGGAGGGGTCGGCAGCTACCTTAGCTGCTGCGCTGGGCTCACCCGGTTCCTTGTCGGTTCTGGCGGCGGCAGCAGCAGTCCCAGCGGTCCGACGCCAGCCAGGTAACCCAATTGATTCTGGTTGGCTTCAGGAGCTGCTTGCTGCTGTGGCTTCCGCCATGATGCCTCGCCGGAAGTCCAGTATAAATCAGTTTTGATGTTGCTTGGAGAAAATGGCATTCATTGCCTCCCATGTGATGAATTCAAGAATCCCTCAGAAACCTGAGTATTGCAACTTTTGTGTTAAAACAAAGTTCTAGACCTCATGGCTGCAGACAAAAGTATGGGTAGCCAGCTTCTGCAAAAGTTGACTGTATCGGAGAAAGAAATACCCCCTAGTCAATTCTGCATTCTAATACTGGTGATGATCCTAAAGGTCTTCCCAAAGTAATACAATGGAGAATAACCAACTCCAGCCTTTCCAAATACCTCTGTAGTTTGCACACAACCTGCTCTGTGCAGCTCTCCCAGAGGTGATTTGTCCCATTGGGTTAAATAGCAGAAGAGAACCGAATGCAAGCAAGAGAACTATTGATAGACTGGGTGCCCTTCGCCATGGTCCATGAGAGGCAAGAATGCTCCCCTCTCCAGTCGGCTGATTGCCATGGTACTTGATGGAGCAAATAAGTTCTTCTAAGGGAAGAACAGAAGGGATCACCAGTTGGAGAAATCAATGAGTAGGGAGCACAATGTTTTACGTGCACCCGACCCTGGGAACGGTTGGGTTTGGAAGCAGGGAATATGAGCTCACCACAAAAAAAGGAAGGCTTAGTTACAGTTCCGTTATGTAGCAGTTTGTTCCAAGTAGTATTTATTAAGGAATGTAAGGAAAGAAATTCCCAAGATAGTTTTACAAACAAGTTGGGAATCCTACCAGCATGTGCAGCTGTCTTTTTGTTTTGGATGTGCCTTCCCATTAGTGATTTTCCCTGATTGTATTCTGTTTTCCATACAACTCAGTCAGATATGTGCACTTTGGGATAATGCCAACACTTCTGACACTTCTCTTGTATCTCTTTTCTGCCAGATAGAAATTTAGCACTTGGCTTCGCCAGACCCATCAAGGCAGACACCATCACTACCAGGCCTCGAAGGCATCTGAAGAAGCAGCAGGAATCTGTGGAGTCGGTAGACTCCTCTGTGTCTGCTCCATCTCTGTCACCCTCTCCTTCCTCTTCCTCCTCCTGCTTACCTCATGTAACTAGGAAGCGATTCCAGATATACTCCAAATCGCCTTTCTACCGGGCAGCTCCCTCTGGGGATGCCTCAGCCCTCGAACAAGCGCCAGGGCACCTCAGAGGTTTGGACGACAAGCCGCAGTTCACCACTAGAGGGACTTTCAATCCCGAGAAGGGCAAGCAGAAGCTGAAGAATGTGAAGAACTCCCCACCAAAAGCCAAAGAGCTCCCAGAGGCAAGTGCCGGGCCAGGCCAGAAGAGACAGCCTGATGCTGCCAATTACAACAATGCCCAGCAGCTGGTGCTACTCGGAAACAATGAATTTATGGTATGAGCCGCACCAGCTGATCGCAGCAAAATTGCAACATCTCATCCGTGACATCTTGCTGCTTCTTCGACACCGTCTGCTGCCACCGGCGTTCTGGAACTCAGTGTGTTGGGACTCAGTGTGTTCCCTCAGTAAACCTGAAGGAAGGAAGGGCCGGTGAGCTGTATCTGCATATTCTGTCAGTCCCCAGTTCTGTCTGTGATGGGCAAGGGAATGTGCAAGCAGACAAGAACACCAGAAGACAATTAGAGTTCAGGGACCTATTCTTGATCCCAGCTATCAAAGCAGCCAACTTTAGGGACTGGGTTTTTGCACTGGGATTCATAAGCAAGGGCCCTCTTAGACGGACCCGCAGCATAAAGGAGACCAAGCTCTTGTTTGAAGCTATTCCTTATTTGCTTCATTGTGTTGTCAATATTTAAAAATGTTCATTTCCACCCAAGCACTTCTCAGACAACCGTCAGGTGCATACCTGTTGTGGAAAAGAGAGCTTTTTGACTTAAAAAAAAAAAAGGTCAGAATAACAAATGCCAGTTTGGTTCTAGGTAGGTCAATGCCAAATATTTGTGCCGAATGTTCAGTAGCCATAACCACAACAGGTGTTCTGTTTTCAGGGTACAGGAGAGGCAGCATAAATATTAGGAGATAGAACCCTTTGTTTTTCTGGCTACGCCCTGGACACGCTCTGCTGCTAGATGAGCAAAAAGCTCCACAAACAGACTGACGGGCAGGAAAAAAGTCACTCCCACAATCACTTTACTCAAGCAAAATGGAGATGGGTGGAGAAGCAGTAAGGAGGGCTGCTGTCACAATCAGTCTGTTTAAAATGTGATTTAACATCACTTTTTTGCTGAACATCAGTATTAAGCAAAGTCAAAACAAAATCAGAGACTACTTGAAGCTCTTTGATAGTATTATGGTTACTGAAGTTCAATGTAAATATGTTTTGTTTTTTAACTTTCCCCTCACAATGTGGGACTTAACTTTTTTCCCCTTTAATGTGGGACACTTATGCCAGGAAGGTAAATGGGTGGGTGGGGGAAGCTAGAATTAGATCTGAGGTCTTGACAGTGTGAAACAACAGAAGGTAGTCGTTTTTTGCATCCTTATGTCATGAGGTAATTCCCACCAGTACCTTGCATTTGGAGCTTTCAGGAGTTTGTCTTTGTGATGAAATAGCTGTGAATGTGTGTGGGAAAATTTGCTCCAGTTCTTGACTTTAGCAGTAATGTATGTATCTTTTAAAGTGGACCTTTGGGGAGCCCCATTTTTTCAGAGCATCACTGAGGATAGCAGAAAATATTCAGATGGCTAAGGTTTGCCCAGCTGCTTTGTACCACCCATGCAAATATAGCTGTAATTTTAAAAAAACCTTTTAATATAAAAAACTACCAACAGGGGCAGTGTACTGTGATTGTATACATGAGAGCAGGAAATCTGATAACCTTTAGTTTCCAGCTTTTGTTAGTGATTGTATGCAGGTCCTACGCCTCATTTCCAGTCTGAGTGGTCTGAGTGGCTAAGAATCAGTGATGAGTTGGTGGTTTAAAACCAAACATGCAAGAAGCCCCTTCCAAATTCAGACCAGGGCCTCCAGTTACAAAAAAAGGGGGGGCAATTGAAAACTGCAGCTCCATTTGTGTAGGTCTCGTAGCACAAACCAGCTGGACAAACTTCATCCCACTCGATATCTACTGCCACTTTACTCATTTGCACTTGCCCTGTTAGTCAGACTTTGTCTGGCCTCTGACACAGGAATCCTCAGCTGTGCTCTTCCTGCTTCAAATTACCCTTTAAGAAAGAGAGGAAAAAGAATACAGCAATTTGGGACACCCACAGCCAGAAAGGGTTACCCTACTCTCTGCACCCACCTCTCTTAATGCTTGTATGTTGCAGACTAATAAGCTGCATTCCTCTCCTCCTCCCCCCAATCCTGCTCTTGGTCCCGAACTGCATGATAGTCATTGCATTTTCCCCACACACATTAGATGCTTCTTTCTGTTTGAGCCACATTCAGCAAGTGCACAAAGATCCTTTGGAAACTTGTCTTCTGGCCCTCATTTTGACGAGTTGCTCTCTGCTGGGAAGTGCTAGGCTCTGCATACACTCCAGGGTACTAATTCCCATTTCTTCCAGTGCAAAGCCTTCCTTTCAGCACTGGCCTTGTTGGGGGAGGAGGAGACACAATTACATAATTCAGATGGGTCCAAGCCAGAGTTTTGGTTGTTGCACTGTTTGTTTTGTTTTTGATACTGGCAACAGGAAGAAAAAAAGTATTTCCATTCATTTCCACATCCATATTTTTGCCTGATACCTGTCTTCCAAGATAGCAGTCTACTCTCCCCACCTGCACTCCCTGACCCTGTGCAATCTGTAAGTACAGGGTCTTGGATTTTGTTTCCCCACTCATGGTATTAAGTGAATGTACTCACCACTAGAAAGGACGTTGGCTGCATATAGTTATTTTTAATGGATTTTTTAAAAGTAATTTATAAGTATACTGAGTGTAAATTTTAAAAGACTTATGTATTGTAAAAGGATATATTGTCCTGTGTCATACTCTATAAATCTTACATGTTTAAAGAAGAATTCTATAAAGGAAAATGCTTTATTTTGCTCACTGAACCAGCTGGCTTGCAGTTACGCAGTCAGCTGGCACATTGTAATTTCATGTCTGGAGGTTTCTTTAGTTTTTTAAATTAATGTTATTTTTGTTTCTCTTTCCTGGAACAAGGCCGTCATATTCAAAGTGCAATTTGTGTAATATTTTGTAAATATGATACTATATGGCTGTACAAAAACAACTTTATGAACAAATAACTTCTAGCTTATTAAAGAAGAAAACAATGGAAAATAAAGTGATAGTGGCAGATTTTTTCCCGTACATAGTGATGATCATAATCAACCATCTAGACAAAGGCTTTTGTGTCTTTGGGAGACTGTGAGGGGAATATTGAGAACATGAAACCTAAGTTAGAAGCAGAAGCTTTCCAGGGAAGTCTTTAACATGGCCATATAAATTACCATATGTGGTTCTGGGACTATGCCACTTCAGACTGCAAGAGCACATTTTAATCACTAGGGGCAGAAGAGCGCACTGGGTGGGTGGGTGGGGGGTGTTAAGGAAATCTTGTCATATGGGAAGAGAGGTCAGGGATCCCCTTCCCTAATGTGCTACTTTTCTTTCTCATTATAGGTACCTCCATAATCCACCTACTTTTTCTTCACGAAACAGGCTCAAATAATCCAACAGGCCTCAACTCTAACATAGATACAATTCCATTCCACCCCTACTACTCTTACAAAGATCTATTAGGTGCTTTAATTATATTATTATGCCTTCTCCACTTGACACCTTTCTCACCAAATCTATTAGGAGACCCAGAAAACTTCTCCCCTGCAAACCCTTAGTTAGCCCGGCACACATTAAACCAGAGTGATTTCTCTTTGCCTAAGCTATTCTTCGTTCAATTCCTAATAAACTAGGTGGTGACCTAGCTCTTCTATTCTCTATCCTCATCCTACTTATTATACCAATAATACACCTATCAAAACAACGCACCTTCTCCTATCATCCACTATCCCAAATACAATTTTGACTTTTAGTCTCGGATATTATCATTTTAACATGAATTGGGGGCCAACCTGTAGAACACCCATTTATTATTATTGACCAATTAGCCTCAGCACTTTATAATTCTTCTTCTCATAACTGCTGCAATAGAAAATAAACTCCTCAAAAGGTAACTAGCCTTAGTAGCTTAAATTAACCTAAAGAACTGGCCTTGTAAGCCAGAAATGAGACACACCCTCCTAGGACATCAAAAGCGAAGGCCGCAACACCTCATCGCCAGCCCCCAAAACTAGCATTTTAATTAAACTATCTTCTGTCTCCCCACAGCCGACTAGAGCGGCTTTTTTGCCTCATGCACTAGTATGGAGTGACGATCTAAGTACTACTATGTATATATTACATTAACTCATTTACACCAATGATAAATTATATATACATTATCCTATATATGAGACATAATACATATATGTTTAATTATGCATTAAATATTTACCCCATGAATATCCTTATATATTTTAGTACCTATAAATTTTTACATATAAAGTCTTGTTCCTGTATCATCTTACTAAACCAAGTTAAGTTCATGGGACAAGGCAGTGCATATAGCAACTCTAGGAGGACAGACAGGCTAGCTGTGTCTTGTTGCTGAGTGAACTTCTGCCTGCAGGTCTCACCTGGCCTGCGTTCACTATTAAGTCCATCCAGTGGTGGAGGAAGCCACTTGGGAGCCTGGGGCAGTGCGCCTAGGGGTGGGCTGAGCTGCCCACAGAGGCGGGGTGCACCATGGGGCCTCCAGAGTTTGCCTGCCTCCTCCCACTCACGCCCTACAGCTGGGGTTGAGGCAGCGGGCAGACCGCTTGGGCAGCGCAGGGCCTGTGCACACCCAAGCCACCGCATCTCTCCCAGGAAAGACGTGTGGCTAGGGCGTGCTGCAGGCCCCGTGGTGAGTGCCATCCAGCATTTTGTCACCCCCCTCAGTGGTGACACCCGGGGTGGTCCACACCCACCACACACCCCTTCCTCCGCCCCTGAGTCCACTGTTGTAAGATGATTGTATATCCTTGCAATATCCAGTGACCCTGCTGGTTCTGAAGTATTTATTGCGCCTGAAATTTTTTGCAGCTATTATGGTACTTCTCTTCAGATGCAGGCCAAACAACACTTCACAAAACAATGTCTCAAGGAGAGATTGGAAAACTGGCAGCTGCACAGAAGACTGCAGCTGCAGATGGAAGGTATAAAATGTTTAGCCAAAAGAAAGGGGAAGATCCTGAGTTAATTGCTTCTAATTTTCTTCTCCCTTCATATCTGCATTTTATTTCCTGTATGTGTGGACAAATTTCAAAAAAGCCATTCCGTTGATCTCTCCTCTGAGAAGAAACTGTATGAGTGACTATTTCAGACATTCCACACAAGTAAAGAAAGAAGGGAAAGATTGCAAGTCATTAACACTCTTACTTGCAATGTCTGAAGCTGCTCTCAGCTAAAGCAAAAGTTAATTGACTGCCAAATCTATTCTTATAGCCTCCAGCACCTTTGAAAGAATGGGAACCATGCACACTTGCCTCCGAGCAGACATGTACAGCGTTGCACTGTAAACTGGAAGTGCTAGCCACATATTTCTCACCAATGGGAGAAGTGGGAATAAAATTAATACAAGTTAATGGCAAAAACTTTCTTGTGGCAAGTTGCACAGTCTCCTTTAGTTGCTGTATATAAGACAAGGCAGTAGTTTAATTAATACATATTAACTGTACAGATTATATCCACTGTGTATAAATGCTGTTCTGTGCTTAATACCATGCAAGTGCTTCAGTGCACTTTGACACCAAGATATTTCTCTAAGTGAAGAAAGGGGAACAGAGGCTTGAAGAAGAAGAACCTCACCACAGTTCCGAGTTAAATCTCTCTTCCCCTCCCTCGCAGCTCTCCGCTTCCCCCTTCGCTCCTCAACTCAGCCCCGCTCACCGCTTTCTCCAGGTGACCCAGGCGTGCCTCACCTGACAGGAGGAGAGACTTATCTGAGAGGGGCGCTAGCCGAGCATGCCAGAGGGGGGCCTGCGACTCGCCCCCTGCAGCGTAGCAGCACTCGCACCCCCCAATGGGCGGATTTGCGCATTCGGCATGATCACCATCGTGAAAATCCAACCACTGATCACCAAATATGCCCGACCGCCCGGCGTATTTGCGCAATCTGCGGTCAGATTTTCGCGATCGGTGGGCGGCGCTGGCACGCCCAACGGGCAGTGCTCACCCCCCCCCGGCTGACCAGCCAGGGGTGCAAACACTGCCCACTGGGGGTGCCAGCGCCACCCACCAATCGTGAAAATCCAATCACCGATCGCATAAAACTGCCCGCTGGGGGGGTGCGAATGCCACCTGCCAGGGGGTGCCAAGCTGATCGCCGGGTGTATTTGTGCAATCAGTGGGTGGATTTTCACGACTATCATGCCGAATGTGAAAAACCGCCCATCGGGGGTGCGAGCGCTGCCACGCCGATCCACCCAAGGGGATTTTGTCACAAACACACACACACCAGGCATGACACCTGGGATGGACCGCACCCCCCTTGAAACACCCCTGGTCCAGTACAACGACCTATATGTCCTGTTTGAACAGATTCTAGAGAAAACAATGAGGCTTGAACAGAGAGACTGGCGTGAATCGCCTGTCCGGGTGTGGGTCAATACATTCAAGGTGTTTTTGGATGAATACATGACAGAGTATATGCCTTCGAATTGCACTGCCTTACCCACTCTGGAAGAATGGCAGATGCAAGTGATAGACTACATGGAATTGGCAGAAATGACTGGCAGACCTGGGAGAAGAGCTAGTGGAAGAGGATTGGAAGAAATTTAAAGACTACTTGCAAAAACATTGCAAAATGTTTGAATGCTAAAACGATGCAGGATATAAAGATAATATGGCATTAGTGACATAGTTGAAAGGAATATGTAAAAAATGTTTTATAAGAATAAGGGTGAAAAAGCTAGAATAACATGTCAGATTTAAACAAAATGATAAAAAGGGAAAAATTGGAGACATAATAGTTGAAATGTATAACATGTATAACATAGAATAAGATTTGAAAGAGGGCAAGGCACTGCTGAATACGATTGTGTAAAAGGGAACACAGAAAAGGGAGATGTGAGGAAGTCAGGAAGGAGGGTTATGAAAATAATAAGTAAGAAACTGGGTTTTTAATGTCTTTTTTATGTCTTTTTTCTTCTACCTTTTTATGTTTGGTATTGTATTTTTCTGTTTTTATTTGACTGTGATAATGTTTTCTCTTTCTTTCTTTTTTTGTTTTGTTTTGTTTTGTTTTGATTGTGAAGCTTGTTTTACTGTTTAAAATTTCAATAAATATCTTTTAAAAAAAACAAACGAATTGCACTGCCTTAAAGGTAAACTGGTCCTACCAAATTATTACTCTTACATTGCACTGGAATAAGGATCACATTCTTTTTCTGTACTTTAAGAACCTCCCTCTTGTGACCTTACTGCCTCTTAAAGCTTTGTTTTGTAGAAAGGGCATTTGTTGCTGAGTGTCCTGGCACTAACCACTTTCCTTGCAGTTTGTAATATGTCTCATAGTCTCCCTAACTAGTAGGTTAAATAACAAATGCAATTTGAAAAGGTTAGCTTGCAGTACTCAACACAAAATTAAGATCAGGAAGCATCAGCAACTAACTTAGGTCCATTCATTTCAGTCGGTCTACTTTGAATAGGACTTAGTTGCAGGGCCAGCCCCCCCCCCATGGGGCAAGGTGAGGCAACCATCTCAGGGGGCAGGATCCACAGGAGCAGCAGATCCCAATGCTGCTGCTTCTTTGGCAATCACCTGTAGCTGAGTAAGATTGTCTTCCATGAACACGGTTTTAACAGTGAGTCTCTAAGTGACTGTGGAGGCCAATTCTGGATCCACACGTCCTTCCACAGTGTGGACATTGGTTTCCAGGCGGGAGGTGATCTCAGTGAGGGTTTGCCAAGCATGCCTTCCTCTTAGCACGTTTCTCCCTTGCATCCTGAGTTCAAGTCTCTTCAAAGCCCACAACACCTTTGGTAAAGGCTGGTTTCCAATTGGAGCGCTCGCAGGCAAGTGTTTCCCAGTTGTTGGTGTTTATACTACATTTTTTTAGATTTGTCTTGAGACAGTCTTTAAACCTCTTTTGTTGACCACCAGCATTACATTTTCCATTTTTAAGTTCAGAATAGAGTAGTTGCTTTGGAAGAGGATCATCAGGCATCCGCACAACATGACCAGTCCAACGAAGTTGATGTTGAAGAATCATTGCT